AAACGGCCTTACAGAACGGATAAATATAAATACATTATTGTTTTGGAAACTTTCTAAAATTTTTCTCATAAAAAGGAAAATGTATATTCATAACATATAAGTTTTTTTTAAATTCTGGGTGTTGTTCAACCTAAGCAAGACCTGCTGTATCCGTTATATCTACTGAGCCGCTGATTAATGTATTACAAACTCTTGCATTCAAGAGTCCACCAACAATAAAATATTCATATCTTTCTGATCTTTCTACTTTGTCAAGAACATCCTGAAGTTGTCAAAAAAACTTCACAATCTACCTTAGTAAGCATGCAGATTTCTAAAATAGCTCAGTATCTTTACCTTTGACAAAGAACGCCTATCTGTACATCAGCTTCTTTTCAACCCCAGACCCTGTATGAACACTTTTCAACAAAGTCCGATGTAACATTTCGAATTTCTTGAAGTTTTGAAACCGCATATCTAAATATTATCGAAAAGCAAGACATATTAAATTTACAGTTTACCGAGGAGGGTGTTAGGAAAAATTTTGGGAGGACTGGCTGTATAAAACAAGGACTGTCCCCCCGAAAAGAGGATGCCTGGTCAGTCAAGAATACTAAATTGTGGTCTTTACGATTTTTACGGATATGAATTTGCCTAATGATATGAATAGATAACACATGATCTTCGAAGAAACACAGACAAAATAAATTTAAGACCACAGAGGACAGATGTCGGGAAATTTTCTTTCACAAATCGAACAATAACGGAATGGAGTAGATTGCCTGCAAATACCTTTGAACCCTTCCCTTCAACAGTTTAGGAAATTAATTTGGGGTATTACTAAGTAAATGAGGGACTTAACTGAGAATAGGTTATAGAGCGATGCATAAGTGATATATTGTGAAGGTCGTGCAGTGTAGAACAGAGAAATAATGAAGTGATAAAAGGGTTATAGTGAAGTGAAGAGGAGAGTGGAGTTAGATTGTAGATGTTTCTTTTTCTTAAGGTAATTAAATGTTTCTTGAATTAGACAGTTTTTATATCATTATTATTTTTATTATTAATGTTATTTTTATGATTATTGTTATTATTATATAATTTGCATGTTACCTTATTATCTTATTTATGTAATTAGCTGCCACCGGGTATTGCCCATTTGCTGTTAAAAAAAAATCTTTATCTTATCTTATGTCGAGACGAGAAGTTCGCTAAAAAATTGCGCCATTTGTGCTTAGTTGTGCAATAGTCATAGGGAGTGCATACACGAGCGAACATCTGTATCGTGCATAATCCTTGGCTGTAATTTCTAGCAACGAAAGCGTGGTTATGGACGAGTGTGGGTCCTGATGTTGTTCTGACGCATGTGTGGTTTCTTTGTGTTGATCTCCGTTCTTACACGAAGTAGCTGTGTCATTGAATTTGTGTGGAGGAGTCGAAAGCGGACGAGTTATTTTGAATACTTGTTAGTGTCAGAAAATCGGACACTTCATTACAGATTTTGAAATGTCTCTAAGTAAAGTTGATTGGGCTGTTAGCGCAGATGAACAAGAGAAACTGTCAAAAAAGGTAGTTTTATCTCGTGGAAATTCTTATTAGAAGGGTACAAATCCCTTATATAAATCTAGGAGATTGTCAACATTTTCTAATGCAGAATCCTGCAAAGCAAGAATTCACAACTCCTCTTTATGTTCGACGTGTTTCAGGTGGATCACTTATCCTTGTCGAGGAAAGATTCCCAGGAATCAAGACCGAAAGGAAGTACTCCAACATCATCTGCGCCTCCTCCCTTGTCAAAACATGGTTATGCATCAACTCCAGCACCCAGTTCTACGAAACCAGCTTCAGGCAGCGAAGAAGAGGAAGAAGTATTCAATCCGGCTGAAGCATCATTGCTTCAAAAAATCGTTCGCAAAGGATTAGTAGAAAGCAAACATGATTTAGAAATTCAAAGAAAAGATCCTACTTCACCATTATACTCTGTGAAATCATTTGATGCATTACATTTGTGAGTCATTATTTCTCCAAAAGATATTTGTACATTTCACATAACTGTCATGTTAAAATGCAAGGTCAGTAATGTAGTAATTTTTTAATTGAAGGAAACCAGAATTATTGAAGGGAGTGTATGATATGGGATTTTATGCACCATCAAAAATTCAAGAGACTGCTCTTCCTACATTATTGGCTGACCCGTAAGTTGTTTTATTTATAACTGCTATAATTTTAATCCATTTTCACTTGTTTAAAGTTCCTGTCATTGATACTAGTTTTGTGATTATTGGATGACCTTTTTAAGACAATTGCAATTACTTCTTAATTCTCCAATCGTCAGCAATAACACCTGTCTTAATGTAGTATCTTCATTCTTTCAGCCAACCATATTGAAATGCCCCCAAAATGTAATTAACTTGAATGTAAAATTTCTGTACTTTAAGATAGAGGGAAGGGATAAAAATTAGATCTTACTGGCCTAATTTTTTAATAAAATAAATTTAAATTAGTACATGCTCTTATGGTAAAACTTTCATGCGTATGCATTTTTTAAAAATATTGAAGAAATTATACAAAGTGCTGTTTTTTTTATTCAATACGTAGTTAACTTTGTGAAGAATCACATTGTATTAAATGTAATATACCTCACTGTACATTCTGTGGTGTTAAGAAATTAATCACAACCAAAATAGAGGCTCTTGGCCTAAAATTTATACTGTATTCATAACGTGATTGTCAGCACTTTTTCTTGAGAGTACAATATAAAACCACACTAACTTAAAATTTTGTATGACACACAACCACAAACTATTTGACAATAATTCACTTCTGATGCAACCAATGAGAACTGAATTAAATCCAGAAAGAAAGAAGTGTGGGTGCCACTGTCAACCTAGCCTATATTATTACTGCCAGCTTATGAAAATGAATAATCATCTTACCAAATTTCTTTTGTTGTTGTTGTTATTATTATTATTATTATTATTATTTAAAAAATTGTTGCACCTACATAGAAGCAACATGTTTCCAAGCCCGTTGGGGGGGGGCGTTGAGTTCTTTGTGCTTTTGGAGTTGTCCTCCATTAATTTTTCCGCGGAAGTAATCCTCTATTAATTCTTAACTTGGTCACTGCTCGTCTCAGTCAGTTGTCAAGAGGACCGTCGGGTAGCACCTCCGCGTACACGTCTCTCTCTTACGCACTCCTGCGTCACCATCGGTCAGAATTAGTACGGAATTAGTATTGGGAATGGGTTTAGGACACTTCACAGGAGTTGGACTAGCCCTTATGAAGCAGCCAAACTCGTTTTGTCAAAAATTAAATTTTTTAACTTATCTCTTATGATGTTAGTATTTACATTAGCGGCAATTTGTTCACATTGTTGTATTTATGAGCACATGTGCTTTAAATAATGTCATATAAAGTTTCTTGTAAACTCAACCATTTCCTGTGAAACTAGCTCAAAATTCTGTATTTTCTGAAATGCTCAAATGCCAATTTCTTAAAAACGACTAACATTTTTTTTAAACATTTCAAATGAATGCCTCTTTATTATGAAGTTTGGGGTATTTTTTGTTTTTTCAAAAAATTGCAGAAAGGTAATTTTTTTAAAATATCTCTCACGTCTTTAATATGCACATTTCAAGCAATTTTTAAACGCTATTGCATAGATAGTTTTCTGTGAAAAGAGGCTCAAATTTCGTATTTATAGTGGCGCTGAAACACCATTTTCTTAAAAACAGCTCAAAGAAAATTGCCAATTAGGATGAGCTTTTACTGTTATTTAGTATTTTTAAAATATTTTCTTTATACTATTTGGAAACAGAAGAATTAAGGAAGTTTTTAAAAAAATATACACTATGTGGAGATAGATTGCAATTGACAAGAGTATGTGGCAAGTCAGAATAGCTAGCGGAGACCAAAGAAAATAGAAAACTAATTCGTGAAAGTCTATGCCATTCTGTTGCACCACTAGTTTGCTTGTGGTGTCATGGTGTGCATGTGAATCTCAATCCATGAATAGATTTCTAAATAAACAAACTTTAAACTAAAAATTATTTTTACACATTCTGCAACATTGCATCCAGGGCTATAGTACTTTTTTAAAATATAATGGAATGGAATGTTTCCTATATTTGAAATTCAACAGTAATTGGCAGTAATGTGTAATCTGGAAGTCTAATTATCTGGTATGACTTTGTCAATTTTGAGAAGTTTGGTAAATTCACACCTTGACGTTTGAAAAGGAGGGTTATATCTTATTTCCTTGACAAATGCAAATTTTTATTTTTGACTATTAATTTTTTTTACAGTCCACAGAACATGATAGCCCAGTCTCAATCAGGGACAGGAAAGACTGCTGCCTTTGTTCTTGCTATGTTGAGCCGTGTTGATCCAAAAAAGCAGTATCCTCAGGTGAGTGAGTTTTCAAGGGAGATTTTCGGTACTGAAATATTATAATACACCTTAAGTCTTCAAAGTATTCCCCTTCAAACTCCAACTGAGGTGTTGTTAATTGTGCAAAATTTATGACCTGAGCAAGGTCTTAAAAAATATTTGATTAACAGAGTTATCTGTGAATGGCACTTTCAGGCATTGTTAAATAAAACACTGTTCAAGAATTGTCGTCAACTTTTAATTATGAATGCTTGCAGTTAAATTTACATCCTTCACTCCTTTGGTTTATACATACTCATGGTATAGTGGTGTCATGTCTCAAACAATGCCCTGTTTTAACTGTTAATTAGTAAGTAAATAAATAAAAATAAGTACACATTAGTTCTATTATGAGAATCCTATTTAATATTATTATTTTACCTGTTTATATGTTCTTTTCCTTGATGTGTGTAAATTATAAATAAGATAACTTGTATTTTAAAAAACTACAATACTAGGTAAGAGTAGATCAACATGTTATAAAATGATCTAGAAAAGGGTAACATTTCTAGGTATTGTGTTTGGGAATGTCAGGAGCTGTTGTGAAGGTAATGTGCAGCCGAAGAGAGAAGGATAAACAGAAACTGTGTGTCTGTGTGTGTGTGTGTGTGTCAGTGGTACACAATTAATTATAATTTTACATGTACTGTTGTGTGCAGAAATAATGGTTTTTTACTTGTAGGTTTTGTGTCTGTCTCCTACGTATGAATTGGCAATTCAAACTGGAGAAGTTGCCACAAAAATGGCACAGCATTGTCCTGAAATAAAGATACGTTATGCTGTTCGTGGGGAAGAAAGTATGTTTTGTTGCTATCTTGCAAATGAATATTTTTTGCTCTTGTGTTCTGATGATTAAAAAAATGTTTATTTTTGTGAAATAAATTGTTTCAGTTCCAAAAGGAACCAAAATCAAAGATCACATTGTTATTGGAACGCCAGGTAAAGTTGTTGATTGGGGAGTAAAATTCAGATTTTTTGACTTAGGCAAGATATCAGTATTTGTTCTTGATGAAGCTGATGTTATGATTGCTACGCAAGGACATCAAGATCAAAGCTTCAGAATACACAAGTAAGTAAAACATTGACTTTTTGTGTTTCAGTCTCTCTCTTTCTCTCCCATTGTTATAGTTATTATTATTATTATTATTATTATTAATAATAATAATAATAATAATAATAATAATAATAATAATAATAATAATAATAATAATAATTTTATTAACATTATTTGAAGTTTTTATACAGTAAAACCTGTCAACATGGAACCTCTATAAGATCGAAACGAGACATTCCGGACAAAAAAATCTCAGTGCGGAATGATTTTATATGTTAAAATGACCTCTATGAGCTGCAAACCTGCCTCACATGGAAACGGAATGGTTTTTAGAGAATGTTAAGTGATTATTACCTGGCTAAGACAGAAATCTGTTTAAACAATTGTAATATCTTTAGAATTGCAATTGTTTCGCAGTGAGTTTGCAACCAGTTCAGATGAACAATTCTAGCTGTTGAATGTGATACTGATGAAATCGAAGCTACTTCCTTTCACTCCAGTGAAATCAGCTTGCAAACTTTTGGTTTGGACTGTTCTTTATTGAGAAATCTTTAACTGCCGAACCGATAATGGTGGTGATAGGCTTTAAAGGGCTCTTACATACTCGCGAGGGCTTACATGACAAAACATGAGCGTAGAAATCGAATAGGCTACTGAGGAATTCTGTGGTGAGCATTTGGTATAAATATTATTTGTATCAATGCCAAAGAAAACAATATTAAAATCAACAAAATTAGTAAAAAATTATTTTAAAATCACCCATTAGTCGAAACTACCGAAAATGCAAAAAAAAGAAAAGACATATAAGAAAGGTTCATTTCCTAATGTCATAACTTTAAAATAATATTTATACTAAAAAGCATTGAAGTGAACAGAAAAATGACATTTCATTAAAATCTGCCCCTAGTGAAAAATTACACTTGTTTTCATAATTTTGTTTCACTAACATTAATAACTGCACTGAAGTTTTTTTTGGCAACCCTCCACAAGACAGAAACCTGCTAAGATGTAAACTGTTATGAAACTGTCAGGTTCTGTTTTAGACAAGTTTTTTTGTATGCCTAAAAAGGGAGATTGTGTATTGTTATTTTGTGATAATACACTAAAATTACTGCTGATTGTAATTTCATACTTTTTCAGATTACTTCCACGAACATGTCAGATGATGTTCTTTTCAGCTACTTATGAGCAAGATGTAATGGAATTTGCTGAAGCCATAGTGTCTAATCCTGTTATTATTCGTTTGAAGAGGGAAGAAGAAAGTTTGAATAATATCAAACAGTACTATGTAAATTGTCGAAGTTTGGAGGAAAAGTACATTGCATTATCAAATATTTATGGTGTTGTAACAATTGGACAGGCAATGATATTCTGTCATGTAGGTGTTATTATTACTTTGAAGTATTTGAGTCATTCTACCCCAGATTGCACAAATTTGAGGAAACTTTGACTTTGATGTCCCAGATTTTTAAAATTTTTACTATGAATAGTAAAAATGTTTTTCATTTTTTCTCAATTCTATTTTTTCATGATAATATTAATTTTCAAAATCTTCAAAAAAGTGCTTACATTACTACAGTTAATCATTTGCAACTAAAGTAATTGTGACAAAAATTTAATATTTAACCCTTATCCGGACAACCGGGTTCCATTGGACCCCGCAGCAACATTTTCAATATCTTACGTAGTATATAGTGTGGAAGGGCTTGGGATAGTTTTTTGCTACTTCGTTTGCTAAGATGTTTTTTAATTCTACCCGCAACCATTTTACGAAACTGTTACTGAATAATAAATCAAAAAATCTGAATCTGTTTTCAGCCGCAACTGGGCAAGCAGGGTCCTTTGGCCCCAGGTCACGTCATCTTCATGCAATATTGCATTTTCGGGTTTTGTTTGGTCGATTACTTGATGACCGCTTAGTGTCTAAGGGACAGATGGATGTTGGGTTGCGCAATGTCATTTCAATGTGATATTATCTGAGACTTAAGTTTGAGCATTACTAAGAACGATGGCTTCGTAAACAGAGTTATTGCTGGTTAGTAAGAATCAGGAGAGTGAGTTTTTGAAGTTGTGTGCGGTCCAGGTTTTACGGGGAAAATGCATAGTGACAGGTATGTTGCTGACTCTTACTGAAAGTTAGAAAATGTGAGACCATATGATTATTTAATTGTTGATATTGCAAAAGATTTGGTTCGTACACAAAATAATAGGATTGAATAACTCATTTTGCCTGGTGATCACATATTATTAGGGATGAAGCAGCTCCCAAAACTCAGAAAATTTATAACATCAAATAAGATGTCGTTTGTGAAGGAAACGAAGAGATGTAGCATATGTTCAAAGCCTGTCTAGAATGAACATATCAGGTACACAGTGTGTACGATCTGTAATAAAAGAAAAAATGTTTTAAAGTCTGATTTAAAATATTGTCTGGCAGAATATATTTCTAGTTTTAATTTAAGTAAAGTTACATTATTCTAAAGGAAAAGATGTGTAAATAATGTATACACATTCTTCCAACAAATAATTGGTAATATTTGTGAAGGAGTGGAATTAGAGAAAAGGGGGGGGGGGAAGTGTTGCCCATTTTCCACTCTAGACTTCATAAAAAAAAGTTTCAAATCACTACAAAATTGTTTTTTAAGTGTGCAGTTTGAAGTGGAATGACTCTTCGTGTGTCCAAAAAGACTTTTAAAAAATTCTAATAAAAGATGTGAATATAAATTATAAGTGTTTCTGATAATTATTACAGACTCGAAAGACTGCTGCTTGGTTAGCTGAGCGTATGTCTCGAGATGGCCATGCTGTTGCACTTCTTTCTGGAGATTTAACAGTTGAACAACGAATTGCTGTTTTAGATAGATTTCGTGATGGAAAAGAAAAAGTTCTAATTACCACAAATGTATTATCTAGAGGTATTTGTGCTTCTATTTATCAAATATATCACAGTTTTTATGTTACCAAAATTAAATGTATTTTTACGAATCAACTTTCTCTTCAACAGGCATTGATATTGAACAAGTTACCATTGTGGTAAATTTTGATTTACCCATGACTGTTAATCGGAAGGCAGATTGTGAAACCTACTTGCACAGAATTGGACGAACTGGCAGATTTGGAAAAGCAGGAATAGCCATTAATCTTATTGATGGACCTGAGGCCCTTACTCTGATGAAACAAATTGAGGAACATTTTGGTGAGTATATCACAACACAGTTCAGTGTACTGATTGCTCACGCATTGTTAGGATAATTACTGTCATTCAGTTCTAATTTGCTATCCAGAAATTCTTTGATGGAAAAAAATTACAGTGTTAAACAATGCAATAGAGTTAGCAGCTTCCATCACAGTAGAATTAGACTGAAGGACACATAACATTACGATATGGAAATATTTTGAACCCTCTGAACTTTTTTCCCTGTGTTTTTTCTGGAATTGTAATTCCCTATGTTTTTCAGAAATTACATTATATTATCCTGGGAGTGCCCTAGGAAGGCTAGATGTTATCACATTAAATAATTCTGTTTAACAAACAAGGAGAAAAATATTAATATATAATGGGTTGCATTTTTTCTTAAAAATGTTTCATGTATTATTGATATATTTCTGGTTCCATATGACTAGATAAGACACATGTTGTTAAATAGCTTAGAGTTATGAAGGATTCCAAGTTAATGGAAATCCAACAGATAATAATAGTAATTAATATTTATTTGGGCTCTTTGATAGTAGTGTCACTGTGGAACCTGTCACAACTTTACTGTAACTGTTAGCAATTATCACATCTACCTTCAATAACAACATTATGTGTTAGAAAAACTGCAGTAAACTGTTATAGTAAAACTCCACTTTAGCATTCCTAGAATTTACGTGTTCACATCATTTATGCCGTTTTGCCTCGTTTCCTTCAATTCCCCTATGTTCACAATGTAAGATTATCCCTGCCTTTACACTTCCAAAATTAAAATTTCTTGCCTCTTTCGTTTTTAGGGTGAGTTCTTTCTGGAAAACACATGGAAAAGTGGAAAACTGGGAATTTCAATTTCAGAAAAAATACAGGGAAACAAGTTTTCACATTCAAAAAATTGATTGCTGATGTAGAATTCTTGCTAAAAGTATTTCCAATTTGACGGAATGAATTATTTTTTGAGAATTTTTATTAATTATAAGAATCTTTTTATAAATAACTCTTTTAGGTTAATTTTGTCATTTTAAATCATAAACTAACAAAATACATATTACCCTATAAAACATTGTCTAATTATTTTAAAATCACGCTTAGTATTAACTGTAACACTGCAAATCCTTTAAACATTATGCACGTCAAAGGAAAAGACACACAGCTAATAATTTTAAATTTGCTTCATTGTGTTCCTGAAATTTGTGCCCACATCGTTTATTGTAGGATCTACGCATGTATACATTAGGGCTACAACTGGCCTTCGATAATATCACCTTAAACTGCAGGTAGAGAAAAAAAGCTTGCAGGGTCAGATCTAAGCAGTAAAACACAATTGAAGAACGAAAGTGATGGGAAAAGAAATAAGAGAAACAGAGTTGGTATGAGATGGCAGAAGAATAGAAGGCTGTGGAATTAATAGCAATGGATAAAGGAATTAGTGCTACAGAATGGCAGTCTTTCTCGTACTAGTTTTCTAATTTCTCTTGTGTGAATTAGCCACACTCTTGACAGCTGCCATTTATAGCCACCTAAGTCCATTTTTTTTAAATTTTCTCAAATTGTCAGCTGCGGCAAGGTATATTTGTATAATTTTGTGGGAAAAAAACAAGAATTCAGCAAAATGAATCAGATATCGTCTTAAACAATGCAATTCATCGTATACATAAAAAAAGTTTGAAGAAAGAATTTGGAGCCTTTTTGGAGAGCATGGCATTTGAGTGATTCTGAAAATGCAGAATTTTGAACTCATTTTCACAGAAAAGTTTAAAGTTTTTGAGAAACATTATAAGACATCATCCTCATGTACTCGTAAATGCAATAATGTGAGGTAACCGCTTATGTAAATATTAATAGTCATAAAAATTAATTTTTTGTAATTTTTGAAAAAAGAATATAGTAAAATGGCATCTATGTCTTCTCATAGAATATGTGTAACAATATCCCTATCAAATGCTTAAAGAAAACAATTAGAGCTATTTTTGAGAACATCTTGTTTTTCTTATTTTTTTAATTGCAAGAAAACGCCTAAAATTTTCAAAAAAAATTTCCTGCCCTTAACAAAAGAACCAATTTTGGAAAACAAATTTCATTTGAAGGAAAACTCTCTGTCTTGAATTTTTAAATCATCCAAACTTTTGCAATAATAGGAGATTGAGAGTTATCAGTAAGAATTTGGACCAATCCCATCTTTATAAGTGTATTTTACACTATTATTACAAGAAATTTAAAGAAAAAATTTGGTGTCAATTTTGCGAACGTCCTAAGGGTTTCCTGTAAAGTACCGCCAAACATAAATGAATGTTTTTTAAAATCGCAGAGATCAGATCAACATGGATTTATTCA